ATTATTATCTGCAGTTTATCTATTGCATATAATTAATCTAATATTTTAAAAATTTTTGTTTGATTCAAAATCCTTTTAGTAAAATAAATAACAATTTAGTAAACCTAATAGTGATTTCTTCAAATATCTTTTTTTCATATTTGATAGTTCGATCAGTTGATATATACAGTATTGTAGCAGATATACTAATTTTAATATATTTATCCTAAAATTATAATTTATATTAATATGTAGCTTTTTTTAATTTTAATTTTTTATTTTTTTATTTTTTTTAGCTCTTTGGCAATCTTGCTAGTAATTCTTTATAAAGATTATTATATAAGTAAATTAGCTTAATATTTAGACCCAACATCTCTCAACTATCTCTATAGATATCTAAAAGTGGTCTGCTACACTAGATAGAGTTTTATAGTCTCTGTTTAGAAGGCTTTTACCAAGTTATCTCAGAAGTTTCATAAACCTTGAAGAGGTTTTGTTAAGTTAAGTTTATCTGAATACTCTCCTGCTATGCTATTATCTAATTTTAATCTATCTAATTCTAATTCTATTTGGCTATCTAAAATATCTTTTTTTTGTAAAAATACCATACTATCTATTTTTAAGCTAATATTCTTTTTCAGTTTACTTTATAATTTTCTATAGATAACTTGACTTTTAACCCTTCTATACTTCTTTTTTCTTTTCTTTTATCTTTTTCATTAGTTGTTAATAATTCTTTACTCTGTAATAGAGTTTTCTTCTTTACTTTTTTTTTTCTGTTTTTCTAGTTTGTTCTAGTCTTTTTACTTCTTCTTACTTGAATTAAAAATCTACTCGAATTCACTAAAATCTTTTCTAGAAGTTTCTTCTGTAATATTTTCAAATTGTCTTTTGTTTGGTTAGCTTTTTTCTCTTCACTATCTATAATTCTCTTCTCTAATATGTTTTGTAGTTAAAGATAACTTCTTGTTAATTTTTTAAAAAGATACTCAAGATTCTTTCTTCTTTTTCTTCTTTGAAGTTCCTCTTGTTTTACTTTTTTTTCTCTAAGACTTGTTATCTACTTTGTATTAATATAATTTCTCTAAATATTCTTCTAAATAATTATTAGATAAAGCTTCTTTCTTGTTTATAAGATTTTTTACTTCATTATTTCCTTTTTTCGCTTCTTCTTTAAGAATCATCACTTCAATATTTCTTTTTTCTTCTTGGTTTGGTTCTACAATATGTATATATAATTCTTCGATTTGTTAAAAAAAAATTTCTATTTTTTTTTTTTTTGTTGCGATCTCTGCTTTAAACTTTCTTATCTACAAGTTTGGATTATATTTTATCTTATTTTAATTTCTCTATATAATCTTCTATTTGCATATCAAATACCTCTGTATTTGTCAAGATTTCTAAATTCTTCTTATCTTTTTTTTCATTATTTTGTATTAGAAAGAATAAATTTTCTTGTTCAAGTTGTTGGATTAAACTATTTTCTATATTTTTTCTTTGAAGTGCTTGTTGCTTTTCTTTTTTTTTCTAAAATTGACTATCTAGTCATTATAAAGCTTCAGTTTTTTAAATAAACTTCTATTAATTTATCCAATATCTTTGTAGTTTTGTTTTGTTTTCTAGAATCTTTTTTTTCTTCAGTATTTGACTTTCTAGATGCTATTTCTCTGTTTATATCTGTTATATAATCTGTAATTAGATTGTTTTGTTTATTTCTAAATATATATTCTATTTGTATAATAACAACAGATCTGCAGTACAGGGTCAAGTGCAATTTCCTAAAAATTGCTTGCAAAGGGCAAAATTTCATTGGTTTTTTGTCATTTTTCTTCTTTTTTATCCAAAGCTTTAACATTTTTACTTTTATCTCCTAAGAAACTAGGTATTATTTTGTATATTTTTTCTTTTTACTTAGTACTATAAACTGTATTTTCTTTAGCAAAATATATGTTTTGTTGATTTTTTGTTTTTGTCAAATTTGTATTTAGAGGATTAGCAGAAAGAGTTGATGAATACGTAGCTTTTTTTAATGCCAATTTTTATTATTTTAATTAGATATTTATATAAATATCTATTATATTTACATACCACTTGTTCTTGCATTAGTGCTATTAATAGTATTATTATAATAGTCAAATCATCAAAAAGAACTGCAGATAATAAAAAATATAGAGATTTTTTATCACCAGTTTTAATTAAAACTAAAGTATTTTTTTGTTGATCAATATAGTTATAAACAGTCTCTAATTGATTATCTCTTAACTGTTTATATTTAAATATTTTTTCTG